AGAGTCAGTTGAAGTGGCCTGCAGTACTGCACCCTAACCACTGCACCACCTCGGCTCTTTTAATCCAAAACCAATAAAATAATAATTATTGCAGCACTTCACATCTTGTTTTCTGATTAATAAAGCTCCTTAGATGAATGTAGATGTAATTGAACTGAAAGATGTCACAGGCAGACAATGTCCCAGAAGTTCCTTGTATGAGGCAAGCACAGTGTGCTCTTTTGCATGATTGCTCCAATCCAACAGTCACAAAAAAGCAATCTTTTTGCAACTAGAGATCACACATTTAGGAGAACCATTTGAGGGTTGTGGGAAGTGGAGGTTTTTCTGTAGGTTAGTTGAATCAGCATTAAGATAAAATAATTACATTATATCTAGTAGAAATATGAGGGACCTAAACTCACATTTCCCTTTCCTTCCCAATCAATTTACTTCCTCTCCTTTCCCCTTTTATCTTCCTTTCCCTTCCTCTGACTTTCCTTTCTCTCTCTTTCCTTTCTCCTTATTTTCTCTTATTTTGTCTTCTCTTTCTCCTTTTATCCTCCCATTCCATCCTATTGCACCCCAGGTTTGGCTGTCAAATTTTGATGACTTGAACTTAGGACTTTGTGGCTTGTAAAAATAGGATGAAAGCTACAAATAATGTGACCCCTAGCTTTCAAACTACCATGTCTTACACAACATAACAAATTAAGAAGGGCCGGAAAAGGCCTGGTGTTATGCATAAAAACCCTCTACGAGCACCTAAAAATCCAACACATCCACAAGTATTTTTCCATTTCATTTGCCGCCTGTCAGGTTAAGGTAGATGGATAGCCAAATTCTATTAGAAAGGTAATCATTGTCTTTGATATGGGTTGTTCATGTGGAACAATGCACAGAGGCCAGCTGTGAAGATCTAAGCCCCCCCCCCCTTTGTATACAAAAACACACACAAATTCCCTGCTAAGTAATTCTCTTGCCAAGTTGCTTGAGTTTACATGTCTCCTTTTTGCGATAAACCCTGCAAGGAACTTAGCCATTCATAAGGAACTGAAATACTCCCACATTTTATCTTATGGCTCCCTTGTTTTCAGCTTCTAACCATTCCAGTCAGCTGTGAAATGAGAAGATTTGGGCAGCTAGATGTGGCAAGTCAATAGGGAAGGATTGAATGGCATCCTACATACCTTTTAACAAGCATATATAAAATTGTCAGAAAGCATTTCAAAGAATAATAGCAGGCATAAGTTTGTCAGACTTAAATTGTTTCAACTCCTACCCTCAAAAAGACGCTATAGAGCACTGCACACCAGAACTAGACACAAGAACATTTTTCCCCAAATGCCATCACTCTGCTAAACAAATAATTCCCTCAGAACCATCAAACTATTCACAAAGGCTGCATTACCATTAATTTCTCATCCTTCCTATCACCCACCTCCTCCCACTTATGACTGTATGACTGTAACTTTGTTGCTTGTATCCTTANCCCTTACCAGAGGGAGCCCCCTTGTGGAGTACTGTGAAGCTATTACCATGGCAACTCCACTGTGCTGTACAGTAGAATCCAGTATGGCAGCATGGCACAACAGGCTGTATCTTAACAGAACACACACCCCAAGGAGTGTTAGGGGTGTCTTACCCCCACATTATTTTTCTTCAGAGGATACGTTATCTGTGTACCAAGTTTGGTTGAAATTGCTTGAGGCATTCCAGAGTTATGCTGGAAAACACACCCACACCTATATCCACACCCACACACATTTATATAGCCTTTCTGGGTGTTGTGACAGGAGAACAATATCATCTGCCAATCTTAAGTGATTTAAATAGGCACCATTGATTTTTATTTCATATTTTGCCCATTCCAGTTTGTGAAATATTTATTTATTTATACACACCGAGAGTGGTATATATAGACTGATGTACTGTATGTATAATACTATTATTCATTGATTTTATCTGGTTATAATCAACTACACTAAACCATTTCACAATTTTACCAGTAGGATCTTACAAGGCCTGGTTTGGACCCTTCTAATGTCAACAGAGAAACATGAGTAATATTTTAGTGCCTGCTAAACCTTTTCAAGAATGTGAACACAAATAAGGAGGAAGCCCAAACCTTTAAGAGTCCGGAAGAGGATAGGGTCAGACAGAGGTCCCACTCCTTTGGCATTTCGAGCTTGTATTCTGAAGTAATATACTGTATCCAGATTCAGCTCCATAATTTGATGTGTAAGTCGGTCTCCACTGATGGTCTCCATGATCCAGTCGTCAATGGGGGAATTCTTTTCCAAGGTGTAGAACAGAATGTAAGCTGTAAAATATAGAAGGACACACCATTCTTCTCTGTTTACACACATAACATATTTGCATTTATTAAAGTAGAAATGTCAATGCTTGTACAGAGTCAGATCTAACCCAGTCTCAATTGTGTGAAAATTTATTTCCAATGTCAACAGTGTTATAAATTGATTTACCATTAGTATTCTTTTACAAGTGTATCTGAAAAGGTATTTTTTTCGGAGCTGGTGCCTTGGAGTCAGCTTGAACTTCTGGCAACTGTTGATAGTGTTTTGCTAAGTAGTTTACCATTCTTTGAGTGGTTTGCCATTGCCTACATTCTAGGGACCAGAGAGTAGGAGTGGCCTAAAGTCACCATCAGCTTTTATGCCTAAGACAGGACTAGAATTCGTGGTGTCCCTGGTTTTTGCCCAGCACTTTTAGCCACTAAACCAAACTGCCTAAGATGAATTATTAAAGCTTAATTCACTGAAATTCCTCAAGTCTTGGGCTGCAAATTGAACTATGTTAACTCCTGCTTGCAGAACTAGAACCTTAATGTTAAACTCACAGATCTGGATCATGACATTTAAGTTATATTTATCCATCCATCCATCCATCCATCCATCCATCCATCCATCCATCCATCCATCCATCCATCCATCATCTATTTAAACTGCTCAGGACTTAGTGTCCAAAAAGTGCAATGGAACTTACTGTATAGTGGTGGGATTCCAAATATTTTCCTACCAGTTCTATGAGATTGTGCTTTGCGCCTGTGCATGCAGTACTCAAAAACCACCCTCGGTGTCAGCGCTGGTGAGCTGAGCTGTTTTTTTAGCTCTGCCATGCAAATCAGCTGAGCTAAAAAAACAAAGTAATATAGGACAGGGAAGTACAGGGAAGTACAGGGAAGTACAGGGNAAGCCTATTGAAACTGCAGTGTCTCTGTATTCTGGTTTGTGTGTTCTCCAACACAACTCTCACAACGCTTCGCTGAATGTATTTGCTCTCCCAACGGGGAGCTTACCTAACCTGCAGTATCCTGCAGGTATGTGATTGGGATTTTCAATTTTTTTGCAAGGGGCTCCAGTGTTTCTTTCCGGTTTCCAGCAAAAAAAACCCGCCATTGTATAAAACGGATTCACTCAATGATTGCTGTGTTTATTTAATGGCCACTGCAAATAGGCTGACATGTGGCCCACTTAGAAACCACAACAACATACAGCCACAATTCCAGGGTTAATTACAGTTATAAGTCAAGAACTACCCGTATAGCAGGAAAAACAAATAGCCATTATGACTCTGGAACATTATGGAGATCAAGGTTAAAATCCTTGGTGTGAGAAGCCAAATCTGGTTACGATATAGGGGACAACCCTCCAAGTTGTAGACTGGACAGCAGTTTCTAAATTCACGATGTAAGGAAAAACTCCTGCTTTGCAAGCAGCCCTTTTTCAGTTTTCTTGGCTGACGTTTTCCCGAAAGCTTTAAAGAAAAACAGTTTTTCATACAGCGCACAATTTATGGCATCTTCTGCCACAAGAAGACCAATTGTTTAGACTGCTTTAAATTTCAAGAGTAGATAAATTTATAGAGGAAGGGCTATAAATAAGTATTGCCTAAGACCATTTAATGAAGCTTCACGTTCGGAGGCGATATGCCCCACCGAGTGGGAACGAGCAATAATTGACAACTATAAAGAATTTGTGGGGAACACTTGATCTTGAGCTTGATACACGGGAGGCTGACCCTTGGATAATCTATCTGTTCCAGCTCACAAATAATGCTAGAGGTTAACCTCAGCTGAATGTTAAATGTATAACCTTGGGTTTGTGTTGTGGCCCAGCAGGAGCCGTTAGAGCTGCTGCCAGACTCCGACAGCCAGGGGTCTTATGAGTTGGCCTTGAAGAAGGTGGAGGACCCTGGACAGGGTGTCGAGGCCGAGCAGGGCGAGGAGAGACTGGTTGGCCACCAAGTGTCGGCAGAGCATTGGATCAAAGGAAATGTTCCTGAAAGTATTTGGGAGTTGTATCAGGAGGCAAGCAGGCTTAGGTCTACTCAGCATAAAGGACAAAAGGAGATGATTGCGATCAGCTGTTGCTCATTGGGATCCTCGCCTATGTATAAAGAGACTGCTGGTGCCACGCCCTGGTTGCAGAAGTCAACGTTCCGTTCCGTTCCTGTTCGAGTGATGGTTCTTGTTCGTGTTTACTAACTAAGAGAAGCCAACTTGGATAAGTGGTTTTGAGATAAGAGAAGCCGGGTTTGCATTTTGGTGTGACTTTCTGCCAGAGCTATTAGGACTTTTTGCCAGAGCTAATTATTTGTGTTTATTTTGGGCTCGCAGCCAGCAAGAGCCGGGACTGATAAAAAAACAACAACATTCCTTTGAATGTTCTGTTTGGCTTTCGTTTCTAAACGGACAAGGTGGGGGTTAGAACAGGTTTATATACTTGCCCTTTCTCCCTTCTCTTCTGGCACAGACACAACTGATTTGAAAATCTTGGGTTTTACTTTCAATTAACTTGGGTTGTTCTGAACCAGCATTGTGATTAATTATAATTTTAAGAAAAAATGTGTTTTTTAATCTCTACATAAGATACCCCTTTTTTGGTGCATGCCTTCAAGTCAGTGTCAACTCCTGCTAATTGCCTGGGCAAGCAATTTTATTGGCAAGATTTTTGGAAGTGGTTTGCCACTGCCTCCTTAGGGCAGAGAGGGAGTGACTGGCCCAAGGACACCCAGTTGGCTTTGTGCCTAAGGCAAGGCTAGAACTCACAGTCTCCCAATTTCTATCCTGCTGCCTTAACCACTACATTAATTTGGCACTCCCGATTATTCTACCTTGTCCCAGTTGGGATATATCAAGAAAATGTAGCTTGTGGAAAACGGAAGCAACAGTTTCTTCAATTAAGCTGGAGGTGAAAGAACACAATACAGGTTTTTCTGCTACCTGTTCTTAGGATGTGTAGGAGAGAAAGTGCTGCCTAGTGATTAAAGCACAGGCTAGAAAGCAGGAAATGATGAGTTGTAGTTCCATTTTAGACAGGAAAGTCAGCTGGGCGACCCTGGGCCCTTCACTCTCTCTCATCCCAACTCAACTCACAGGGTTGCGGGGGAAATAGGAATAGGAAGGGGTGCTGGATATGTTCGCTACCTTATTTGTAAAAAATGATAAAGGTGGGACACAAATAAATCAATATGGCTGGCTTCAAAATGGTGAGCACCTGGGCAATCAAAATCTGCTTGTTTTAATAAGTATCGCATGCAATGAATCCAGGTACAAAAGAGGCTGGTTTGCCTTCTCAATTCCCACCCACCATTCTGAAGCCGGTGAGTGTTGCTGCAAACACCTTTGTAGGTACCGATTCCCCTGCTAAGCAGCCGTGTTGTGTTGCCCTGTGCGTGTCAGCTGACTCTCTCACAATTCTGATAGGGAGCTAATGGGAACTGAAGCAGATGTACCAAGAGGGAATGCTTGATTCATCTGCCCTGAATCACAAGGGAAGAAAAACAAATCACTTTACACGGGGGGTGGGGGGATGCCTACCCATGGCTTTCTTGCTCTAGCAGCGTTTCCGATATCGGGAAATCGGAACAAATAAGACCACACTCTCACCATTCCGGTCACTACATTGCCTCTCCCTGCATACATCTTTCCTCTCCCCCTCCATAAGAGGACTGTAACAGAGCTCTGTAGACTGATAATCAACTGCATCCCTCTGTTGCTTGGAAAAGAGAGACAAGGAAAGGGTAGGAAGATGGAGAAGGGTGAGGAGAGGTATTGCAAATTGGGGGAGGGGGAGGCTCCTTCAAGCGAAGAATGTCTCCTTGGTGACATTACACACAGAGATATATCATTCCCTTGGTTAAAAAAAACCCATGAAAGTAGATTGATTGTGCCTTCTTGGGGATGTTATTTTTCAAGTCCCCACTCTAGCCTATTCCTTTGGACTGTATGGTGACTCCCAGATTCCACCTTGTTTGGCTATTAAGCAAACATGAGAAAGACTTCAGGGAAAACATGTTTCCTTCCAGAGAACTCCCAATCTAAGCATGATTGTCTTCTGTCACTGCAAAGTCATGGAATGAAGACTGCTTATAGCTCTGGAGCAGAAGTCTGGGGGCAAAGTAACATAATGAGGAATCAAACAGTCCCTCCAAAATAGGAGTCACCAGAATCCAGCCTAACTCCTTTCTCTTTTGAGTCGTCAATCCACANTTGATGGGCTTTCGAATGGTGTATGAATTATTTGTGTTGTTATTACAAGTGTTGCTGTGACCCCCTAGGAAAAGGTTATGCCCCGCCCTGTATGGCTCTTTTATGACTTGTGGACTTCAACTCCCAGAATTCCTGAGCCAGACATGCTGACTCAGGAATTGTGGGAGTTGAAGTCCACAAGTCCTACCCCCACCCCTACCCCTACCCGGATTAAACCATAATTACCATCCTCAATCCAGTGTCTTGAAATTAGAGTTTTTGGGAAATAAACAACAAAGCATAATATTGTGCTTGCTGTTATGGGCTTTCCATAGCCACTTTTTTTGACTATTGTAGGAAACAACGCTGCTTTGGAGTGTCTTTTGAACTGACTAACCAGACTGCAATCCTGTCAGTGGTAACTTCAAGTGGAAATTTGAATTTTCTTTATTCTCAATGGATCTCTGAACTTTATTCAATTTTAAATTTAATATATTTTGCAAAACAAAGAAATTTAAAACTTTATAAAAATGCCCTTTTAGGGGAATCTCGCCTCTTCTTATAACTGTGCCTCTTCCTAGGATACCTAAATTTGAGCAGGACTTTTCCCTTCAAAGTCCCAATCAGGGACCTTCGTCAACAAGTTGGTTACTTATATGAATATGATGCTATTAAACATGTCACTATTAATTACAACATGCCAAGCAATGTGAGTAGGATTGCATGAATGCAATACGTAAAAGATAATTTTTAAGATGAAAGAAGATTTCCTTTAGATCTGTGTGCAAGTTTTTAGAATTTGAGTCAATAAATTAACTCAAGGTCTTGAATGGCTCAAGTTACATAAACTGTGGGTCTTAGAAGAGAAACCTCAAAAGTCTTATAAGAGAAATTTTATTATTTGAGAGTGTTACTGTGGGGTGAGGATCATAACAGACATGGATCCAACTGGGTGTCTTGCTTCAATTATTTTGTTAAAAACCTTCAGGGCACCACCGTTTCTCCAAAAAGTTTGGAGATCTTTAAAAGAGAGATTTTCATGCACAAATAGGTTCAAACCTATATTGCTATTGCTGCCATCTAGTGGCTCAAAAAAACACCCACAGTAGTGTTTATTTAAATTGTAACTAACTTTCAGAAGGCTGTCCTGAGTTCTGCAAAGAAAAAAGAAATAAAATTGACCTACCAGTATTTGACAAATGAACACAGCTCAGAGATAAAAATAAAGATGGTTTATGTCCCCTACTAAGATCTTGGTTCAGTAATCACACCAAAAATTCAAAGCATAACACAAAATGGATATTATATATACAATACTAGCTGGATATCAGTGCTTCGCGACAAAACTATGTGATTGGGCTATGCAGGAGAAATTCGATTCACAATCCGTTGGCTCAATGGTGGTCAGTGATTGAAACACATAAGGGAATATTGCTCCCACTGTCTTGAGTGAGGAAGCAGTTCAATAGGTGGAAGGCGTAGACATTTTGGTGAGGTACCGACATGTAATACTGTAAGGAGCACCAGACCACTCCTGAGTGAAGGAGTGGACATCTGCCAGTTTGGACCGAGGTAACTGAATATAAGGCAACTGGAAGTTGGAACAGAGTTCATTTCAGGTGGGAAGGGGGAGTAGAACTCCTTAGCATCAGAGCGTGTTAATTACTGTATAAGAAATACTAATGATTTGATGGTCATTTCAAAAAAAATCCTTATCTTAGTGAGCACCTAGAAGCCAAGAGGCACATATGTGCCAAATTTTAAGTTTGTAGGCTTTACGGTTCTTGAAATTTCATGATGATGAGTGAGTGGTACTTGGCTTTTATATATATAGATAGACCATTACTTTAATATTCTGTAATGCAGGGGTCCTCAACCCCCAGGCTGCAGCCAATTATCTGTGGCTGTGCATGTGGGAAACTCCCCTTGACCACAAGATGGCTGCTGCTTGAGCGCAAATCTTCCCTCACATAAGCGGCAGTGGATTGTGCTGATGATGTGCGATACTTCCTTTGTGCAAGTGGTGGCAACTTGCACTTGCCTGCGAAGCTCCCCTTACACAAGCAGCGATGGCTTGTGCTCATTCATGAAACTTTCCCCACCTAAGCAGTGGCAGCTGGTTCCACCACAAAACCGCGGTAGACTAAAGCGCGTGTGACTAAAGCGCGGTGACAAAACCACACCGTCAAATCCGCAAGACAACAGCGCGCCGACAACAGCGTGCCGACAGAAGCGCGCTGTAACTTAAGGTAAGGTTTAGGGTTAGGTTTAGGGTTAGGTTTAGGGTTATGTTACAGCGCG